TCAGGAGTCGGCCCCTGCCCCTCTTGGGGGGTGGCACCGTCTTCCTGCCTGCCTGTGCCAGACCCGGCACCTCCACCCGGTGTCATATCCCCAGAATTCCGGCACCACCTGGGAAAGACCCCCATGCCACCTCTGAGAGCCCTGCCCCAGCCCGTGACGGGACCCCGTGCCGTGACATTGGCAGAGGAGTGGAACCTCCAGTCTCTGACCTTTCCCCTGGATCGCCTCGGACCTTCCCAGCCACCCAAAGTGCATGGCAGTGGCCCAGAAATCATCCCTGCTGGGCTCTTTGGGACAGCTCCTTAGCTCCACCCACTCACTGTTTCTCTTTTACTTTTTTTTTTTTTTTAACTCCTGGATTTTAAGTTTATTGCATAAAAATACTGTGGCAGTAATTAGAGAAACAGGACATAGAAAGTTACTCCCTCAACTTGAGCCTGATTCTGCAGCGTTAGTGCCGCCAGCATCCCCTGAAAGTCAGCCCGACTGCGGGGCTGCTCTTAAACCCCGCGTCCTCTCCGGGCAGCCTGCTCGGATGCCGGCCCGCCTTGGCTCTAGCAAGGCTCTTATCAGTCCCAGTGGAGGTTTCACTGACAGCCACTTGGGTGGTGCCTGAGAAATTGGAAAGAGTCATCCTGTCCTTGGCCCTCCTGCTTCCTCACCCACCCTGAGAGGCTGGGCTAAGAATAGCCCGAGAGTGGTAGTGGCCACACTCTCCTGAGCCAGGCAGGCAGACAGGCAGCTCCGAGGCTTGGTTGGGCAAGGAGCGAGCAGGCTGGCACTCCAGCCGGTGTTGTTTGGGGGTGGCCATGGTTTCTGGCATTTTATTCCAAGCCTCTGTGCTAATGGAAGAGAACAAGTGAGTCACTGGACCTGGAAGGGCTCTCAAAATCATGTGCCCCCCCCCCAGCTCCATTTAACAGTGGAGGAAACTGAGCCCTAAGAAATGATGTAGCAACCAGAGTCGGGGCTGGAGCCCAGCTCTTCCCGTTCACTGTAAGGCTTTGTTCCAAGTCTCTTTCTGCCATTTGGGAAAGAGCTGTGGTACGGTAGGGGAAGGGGAAAGCATGGGCTTTGGAGCTGGCCAGAGCGTGGTCTCATCTCTGCTTGCCGGTTGGTGAGTGTGACTGCGGGCACGGTACTGAACCTGTCTGAGCCTGCGTCCTTGTCTGTAAAGTGAAGCACCCAGAGGATCGCGAGTGTTCCTGGGGACAGTGGGTGTGTGTGAAAGCTCCTGGCATTTGGCAGATGCACTATTATTACTACTCCTCTCTTGAGTAAATAACATAGTACTTTCTTTTACTTTGTCTTTTTTTTTTTTTTAGGTTTTTGCCATAGGACATGTGCACTCACCAGAGAGAAACAGAGAGAGGGAAAGTGAGAAATCACCTCCCTGGGGGGATGGCCATGCTACAGTCTCATCTCTTCCATTCTCCTCCTGGGATTTTGGGCGCATACACACATGCACTCAGTGTGATTTTCAGGCTGCCAGATCAGGACTTGAACCATGGTCGGCCATGTGAGAGTCCAACACCTGAACCACCATGCCACCTGCTGGCCCCCATTTTTTTTTTTCCTATCAAGTAGAGTGCACAACATGCACATGAGAGAGAAAGGAAAAGGGGCATCCTCCACAGGGTCTGGACATGCCCTATCCCTGTCCTCCAGCCCTCTGTCTGGTTGGATCTAGGGCACCAGTGTAAGTGCCTAGTGTGACTGGGGATTGGAACCTTGGTCACCATGTGGGATCTGGCTTGTGATGCAGTGTGTCACCCCTGTCCCACAGAGCTGGCCCCCACCGCACCACTTTTGACCTCCACTTTGGGCATGGCAGTTCTCTGTGCCAAAGTTTGCTCTGTAAAAAGGGGGCTCATAGTATCTGCCTGATAGAAATGTTTAAGGATTAAACAGTACATGCATTTAAAGTACATGGTAAGTGAAGCAACACCCCACCCCACCCCCAGTCCCTGGGGATACATTCCAAGATGCCCCAGTGGCTAGCACCAAACCCTCTATGTACTGTTCGCTGAAGCCGACAACCCAGACAGTGGCTGATGGGCCGGTAGCCTGCACAGCATGGCTGGGGTGCACACAGGGATGAGTTACATCCCAGGCGGGACAGGGTGGGATGCCATGAGATGTCATCATGCTATTCAGAATAGCGCATGATTTAAAAGTTATACATTGTTCATTTCTAGAACTTGCCACCTAATAGTTTCAGACGGCGGTTGACAGTGGGTAACAGAAACTGCAGAAACTGAAACTGCAGAGGTGGGGGTACTGTCGTCCAGATGTGTGGCTTAATGCTCTAGCTGCGATGAAGTGCTCTCATTTCCCTCCCGGAGGATGCCAGAGTCCAAAGCCCTGACATTGTCTCCTCTCCATCTTGTCCCATCTTCACTTCTACTTTCCTCCTCTGTCAGGTATTTTGTCAAAGTGGCCTGGGCTTGGACGTTCTGTCTCCTCCTGCCTTTCATTGCTGTTACCAATTACCACCTGACGGGCAAGGCTGGCCTGGTCCTGAGGCGGCTGAGCACCCTGCTGGTGGGCACGGCCATCTGGTATACCTGTACCTCCCTCTTCTCCAACATCGAGCACTACACGGGCAGCTGCTACCAGTCGCCGGCCTTGGAGGGCATCAGGAGGGAGCACCAGAGCAAGCAGCAGTGCCACAGGGAAGGAGGCTTTTGGCATGGCTTTGACATCTCCGGCCACTCCTTCCTGCTG